TTGATTTGTGTAATTGATGCGAACATAATTCTTATTTGTGCTTGTTTAATTGATTGAAATGTAATGGTTGATTTTGTTGATTTCAATCTGCATTATGTTGAAGGCAAAAATGACTATCGCAATGCGAAATGAAAATCGCAATGCGAAATGAAAATCGCAACGAGAGAATCGCAATGCGAAATGAAAATCGCAATGCGGAAATGAAAATCGCAATGCGTTTATAATTTCGCATTGCGATTATCTCGTTGCGATTTTCATTTCGCATTGCGATTTTCATTTCGCATTGCGATTCTTTCGTTGCGATTTTCATTTCGCATTGCGATTTTCATTTCGCATTGCGATTTTCATTTCGCATTGCGATTTTAATTTCGCATTGCGATTCTGTCGTTGCGATTTTCATTTCGCATTGCGATTTTCATTTCGCATTGCGATTCTCTCGTTGCGATTTTCATTTCGCATTGCGATTTTCATTTCGCATTGCGATTCTCTCGTTGCGATTTTCATTTCCGCATTGCGATTTTCATGTTGGGATTTTCATTTCGCGTTGCGATTGTATTTTCCGTTTTGCGATAGTCAAATGCATGCCTAATAGTGATAACAACTGAATAACAAGAGTTGGTTAAGTCAAAATGGTTGGCCTGAGTCATTAATTCAACTGAAAATGTTAAAAGTTCACACATAAAATCCACATAATACAACGTTTGCATTTAAAAATCACCTAAGTTAACAGTCTCAAAAGGTGAAGCCAATCGTGATTGGGATTTTAAAGATGATTGCCTTTTGCTTGACACCATATGAGCTTTGGATTTTGATGAGGATCCATATTTTGGTAGAGGAAAAGATGATTTTGATGGCACTGGTGATCCACATGTCAACCTTGTATGACCACTTTCCTTGCACCGACTACATGTCGATCTCTTCTTCTCTTCACCCTTAGACGGTATACGATCGTGACTTTTGGTCGGCCAGGTAGCCTTCTGTCCATGGCTGGTGGCAAAACTGTTTGTAAGTCATCTGGTATGTCCCACTCAGAAGGATGTGGAATAGGGTAGACAATCTCGGCATAAGTCTGTCGATAAACTTCTGTAGTGTAGCAATCCATAGCGTATGCGCTTGAATCATCTTGGTTTAAATGAAGAGCAACTTTTATAACATGGCCACACGGATAACCAGATGTTTGCCATTTCATACAACTACACGTCTTTGCATTTAGATCGACTAGCCCATTTAAGTTATTATCCAGTACTTGAAACAAAGTGTTTGAACATGGTTCAACTCTCCATGACGTTGACTTCACAACACGTTTCGTTATCTTTTTTTCAGTCCATGGTGTAACACGATGTTCCAATGTTCCTGTAAATTTAAATAAACAATACTTAGTAAAATATATAAATATGATAAGTTACGAATTCAAAGAAATAATACCTGCATGGTTTCTTTTCTTGTAGTACCACTGTTGAATAGAGGCTCGAAAAAACTCCATTAACATAGTAATGGGTAATTTCCGGGAATGACGACTTAGAGCGTTGATTGATTCTGCACTATTAGACGTCATGAAACCATATCTTGCTCCAAGTTGATGTACTCTTGACCATCTTTCAAACCCGACATCTTCTAGTGTTTGAGCACACTGAGGCAAAACACGTCTTAAACAATTTATATGCTTATTGAAATCCACTTCCCGATAAGCTTTTACAGCCTTCCAGTATGTCCATTTGTGCTTTTTTATACCAGCAGACCTTGATTTTAGATTTCTATACAAATGAACACCACAAAGTCCATGAAAAGCATCTGGGAAACACCTTCTAACAGCGTTGTCAATTGAGTTTGCCCTATCGGATATGATTGTCAGATTGCTAATAGGACCTATGCAATCCCTAAGATGCCCCATAAACCATGTCCATGAATCAGAGGTTTCAGATTTGCCAACCCCGTAAGCTATTGGCAATATCCCATTGTTAGCATCCATGGCTACTGCTAATAAGTTTACTCCAAGGTATCGACCTTTCAAATGTGCTCCGTCAACTATAATAACTGGGCGCATGCAAGTAATAAACGAACGAATCTACAAAATAATATACACAAGAAATATAATCATTTAAATGTGAAATGCATGTAACTAACAAAAATGAGTCAACAAAATTATATTGATTTACTAACCGTAGCACCAATGGCGATAAACAGCAACTCAAAGCGTCCATCTCTATCTGTTTTGATATGAGTTACCGACCCAGGATTTTTCAGCTTTAAATTGTGACAATAAGCCGGCAGTTGGGCAAACGATGCTTCTGGCGACCCCCTCAACAATTCCAAGGCATAACATTTGGCTCTCCAAGCTTGAGAATATGATATACTAATCTTGAACTGAGCATTCATGTCAGTCATAATTTCATGTCCCCGATATACCCTGCCATTCAAAAACATTAACTCAGCCAGAAAACCACCCAACACCTTTTTGTTTGCCTGTCTATGGTGAGGAAAAACTTGGGTTCTTGAACATGTATGTTTATCAATAAAAGTCCTAACTTGAAACATTTTGCAATCTTTTATTCTCTTTGCAATCATACGCCACGTACAGTTTTTGTCAATCATACACCTTGTTTCGAAACGATCTTTGCTTGATTTGTTAACTTTTAGTTGATAGCCATCTTCCACACATTTCGTATATAAAGCTATCTTCAAGTCTTCCTTTGTATCAAAACAATCATCTTTCTTGATACGAATAACTTTTGTGTAACAATCAACTGCTTTCTTTATCAACTCTTCTTCCGGTATCTGAAGTAATTCTGGCATATTCCAGTTATACGCCCGTGGCATTTTCTTTTCTTCGGGGACTTTTTCTTCTTCTTTTTCTTCTTCAGGATTATATGAATTACAGAATGGATGTTCAACATGTTCATTCACAGTCGTAACTTCCTCCTCATTATCATCAACATTACATTCTTCGGCAACGGCTGTTTCATCATCAAAATTCGGGTATTGACCAATATCAATATCATTACACGCATGGTCTGTTTCTTCTTCTGAAACATCATCAAAATCCGTGTATTGACCAATATCAAAGTCCGGATATTGACCAAGACCAAATTTCGAATACTGACTAGTACTCACAATTTTTTCTGTTGGCTCATCATCGTCTAACTGGTCAATACGAAAACCGGAATTTGGTGCTGAAAGTTGATTGGGATTTGGATTAGAGAAAGGTTGTGGGTTTTGAGAAAAACTTAGTTGATTACTACCCGCTACTGACCCAACAATACTACTTCTAGGTTCAACAACATACAATGTAACATCATCTTGTGAAACACTAATGTAAGCAATGAATCGTTCAACATCTTCATTGTCGGTTAACAAATAAACTTTACCATTTCTCTGATAAGATAGCCTAAATCCACTTAGGGGCTCTAAATTCAATTTATTTGAAACACGTAGCATTAGAGTTTCATAAGTTAACTTTTGTAAAGACAATTTTAGTTGAAGATTCATGGGTAAAGGCATATATTGTAAAACACCATGAACATTATCCCATGACCCTCCAAAACACAAATCTATCCAAACATGATCAACATTAGATGATTTCATGGTTGTAAATTAATTTACTAAACAGACGAGCTGCGAAACTAAAACCTGTTGCCGGATTGGGAAGGATGTCGTTGGATATAGGAACGGATGTCGCCGGAGAGAGTGATAGATGGAGATGGAATGAGTTGCGATTTAGGGATTTAGTTTATGATTTCAGTGTTATATACCCAAAATTTCAGTGTTGTGATTTACAGATTCTCGTTGCGATTTACGGATTATCGTTGCGATTTACAGATTCTCGTTGCGATTTACGGATTATCGTTGCGATTTACGGATACGCGTTGCGATTTACGGATTATCGTTGCGATTTACGGATACGCGTTGCGATTTACGGATACGCATTGCGATTTACGGATACGCGTTGCGATTTACGGATACACGTTGCGGTTTACGGATACGCGTTGCGATTTACGGATACGCGTTGCGATATACGGATACGCATTGCGATTTACCCATACGCGTTGCGATTTACGGATACACGTTGCGATTTACGGATACGCGTTGCGATTTATGTGTTCGCGTTGCGATTTTCATATTCGCGTTGCGATTATGGAAAATCGCAATGCGAATTTGTACTATCGCATCGCGATTTTCAAGAATCGCGTTGCGATTTTGGAAACTGATTTGCGATTCTGGGGATCGCGTTGCGATTTTTATTTCGCGTTGCGAATTTGTTGGTCATTTTGGCAAATCCAAAAAAGTTGGTTAAAATCGTATATTATAACTTTTTTTTGGTCACTGAGGCGATTTTCTCTATTAAATATAAGTAAAAAAATTAATTTCTTAACCTTAAAAGGAAAAATATTCAAAAAGGGGTTAAATAATTAAATATAATCTACCATATAAATGAAGAAATGGATTAAAAATAAGAATTTTAATTAAAAAGCGATATATTTACCTTTATTCAAGGATAAATTACACTTTTAATATTTAAATCATTATTTTTGTTCTATTTTGATAGTTAAGTTTTATTTTTTTTAAAAATTATACTTAACATTTAGTTTAGACATGTCACCATAAGATTATGTTACATCATCATTGAAAAAATATAAAAAAAATATCGTGTTAACCGTTCTTATAATTATTTAACAACAACATTAAAGTTTAGATGCTAATAATAGTTGAAGTATTAAATATATAGTTTATTCTATATAATATTTCTTTAAAAAATCATAATATTTGTATCTTTATACTATTGATTAAAACCAGGGACGGAGACTTGAAATTTTAGAAAATTAGTAGTATTAATTTTCTCTAAACATTTTAATATTATAGTTTAGCCTTTTAATATTTGGTTAACACGGATCGAGGACCCTGTCATAACTAGCATTTGAAAGCCGCTCTTCTTCGCTACTATGGCCTGCACGCCAATTGGGAATGAAACATTGATGCAGCGTTGTTGTATGTAAAACCATGAAAAATAAAGACATATTTTTAACGTAACATTAAGCAATACTTCAAATGTTACAGACTAAATATGGACAGAAAAAAAAAACACAGCCCATAATTGATACATACAATGTCATTACATATACTCCAAACAACTTTTGTTGCTTCGAGTACGCGCATCCGACTTACATCTGATAAGTACATGGATACAAGTCTCCAAAGACCACATATTTGAACAAGAAAATAAAAATTAAACATACCGTCTTGAGTACGTACATACTTGTACCCAAATCCGAGTAACAAAGCTTCGGAACCTTTCGACTCTGTGCCTATAAAACCCCTTTTCTTCACAAACCTGGTCAAATTCAATAAGCAACATACTTGGCTGCAACCAAAGCAGCTAGAGATGTATATATATGCATCTTTCGTTTTCTTTTTACGACAAAGTTACTCCAGTGATTAGCAGGCAATGGGGCATGCGGTCGGTTTTACAGGAGGAACGATGTTAGCAGCTGAAGGTTTGATGCCGGCAGCGATTTCGAGACGTTCCCATGTTAGTTTCCTCTTCTCGGTTGCCTCGTTTAAATGGGAGTTTTCTTCTTCCAACTTACGCTCACAGGCAGCCACGAGCTCTTCGTCCATCTCAAACAATGTCTTTCTTGTGTTTTTTGTCAGGTTAAGGACTGTTTGGTTCCAATGGTTCCGGGAATTCCGCTCAAGGGCCGGAAATACGAGAGGAAAAATCACCTGACGGTTATGCCTGATTAGATTAAGGACGCGCTCATTGTTCCATAGCATGTGGGCTCGTTCAGCAACCTGAAATACATATCCAGACATCATAATAGGAATATGGCAGCCAAAGAACCCTTCAAGTACATGAAGAAAACTTCGATGAAACATACTTGTATCAATCTCTCACACGCCCAAGTCCGAGTAACATGGTAAATCACCATTTAATTAGTTTGTCTGGTTAATAAACATTCTTCATCGAGTATATAGGAGAATAATCGATAGGCTAATAGAAATGCTAACACCGACAAAATGAAACCGGGTTTTGCGATTAAAATCGTACTAGCTCACACTTAGCTATATCTTTATCCTAAATAGCCATGTACAACCATAATTCTTAACTTACGAATTTTAAATCGAACCCCACTCATTCTCTATCTCTTTCCAATAGCATGCAGCCAATAAAAGAGACATAAATAAAGTGTACTCCGAGGGAATTCTCGTTAGCAGGATGATCACAATGTAGATCAGATTGAATGCTATACCAGCTTTTAGAACCATACACAATCTACAATGTCAAAACATGACGGAGGTTCTCGATTAAAAAAACGATAAAAGTTCTCTTTAATGTAAACATTTATCATGGTAATTTGAAGAGGAAAATTACCTGGTAATGGAAGCTGTTTAAGCAGCACGCAATACGCAGGAACAGTGGAACCATGATCTTTTGGAAGTCAGCCATGCTAGTCATCTCCAAAATCTCTTCTAATTCACTTATAAACATCAATTCCTTTTGGCTATTCGTAACCGGCCAATACTTTAACAGTCCCGTAATCACGCTATTAGCTAACTTCGGATCCTTGTCTACAAACTGTACAACACAGTATGTTAATTGCTGATGATAAGCACCCACTGATTTCGGTTTGTGTAGAGGAATGAGGGCTCGACATAGAAACATCTTGTGCTCCTCCTTCAACGGTAAAGCGAATCCGCTGATAATACTTCCGAAAATCTCCAAGAGCTCACCAATGCCGCTATGCCGTTCGGTTTCATAAAGGAAACTATAGATGATATTGCTAACAGCTTTTCTTATAAATGGCCTGTGCACCGTGAATTTACCATAAATCCCATGCAGAATTGTTTTCAAACAGTCTCTTTCTCGGGGGTCCTCGGACTCAAATAGGTCAAGTAATCTCAAAATAAAAGAATGATCCATGTACTTTTTTGCCACCTTCACATCAAGAGAATTATAACCGATAAATTGAAGAAGCAAATCATATACAAGTTGCAGACTGGACCAGCCAGGATCAAACATTGGCTCTTCATCGTCCACTTCACCACTAGCGGTATTAGATCGATATTTAGGTGGAAAAACTCGAAACAGGTTAATGGCACACATTTTACACATTGCAGCAATTGCTGGTTCGTTGAACTTTGCACACCCTGAAGAAACAAAATCGACAAGCTCTATCAATGTTTGGCGCTTAAGATCTTGCTCAGTAGTAGTTTTACCCGGATCGCTGGAATTGCAAACTTCACAACAGAGGTTCAATTTACTGATAAACAGGTTTGGTTTCTGTGGATTTGAAACATCGTTGAAAGCCAGATTCGGCTCAACTGCCTCCGATCCAGCCATAATGCTAGAAGGAAAAACAGCTGAGGACACCCGTTTAACAACACGTAGTCGACTTGAAATTTTATTCCCGAAATTCGTACATTGAACTCCATCATCCGAGTTAGAAGTACGGTCAACAGAATCAGTCCCAACTGAATCTAATGAGTCGGATCTTTGCGACTTCCGAGGTAGTTTTCTTAGAAATTGTTTGAGCATGATGCCAATAAGTTAACTCCCACCAAGACAAACTTCCTGAATTAGATTACAACAGTTACGGACTTACAGTGATTTGACCAACAATACGAAATTACAAATTGTAAATGAAATAAAAAGGACGACATCTATATACTAGGGAAAGAAAAATAAGATCAAGAACACCGAGATGCATTATGTAATGGTAATTTAGCAAATAATGGATCCACTTGCAATATTTTCAACCAAGCTAAAATCTTAACAGGCCTTGATTCTGGTTGACAAATGTATTCATGGGGTCAAATTGAAAAGCTAACAATCACAATATTCATTGCAGCAAATAAGGAATTCGGGAAATCTCGAAAAATCGCCATGATTCTTGACTAGTTAAGGAAAAGCTGGAGTGTCTAACAACAACCAGATGCTAGAAATTTAAGCTGTTCTTCAGAAATGGCAAACCAAATCAAGCTAAAGCACTCACTTTGATGCTATCAAACTTGAAAAGTAAGTTCCCCATAAACAAAGTCATCAACTCTAGAAAGAAACAAGGGCCTGATAGCAGCAAAAGATGGATTTTTTTTCATAGGAAATCTCATATAAACTCCAGATCTGATAAATAAAGTGAAAAGGAGAGTAAATCAACAAAGATCTAGCACCAAATCACAAACGGAAAGAAACCCAGATCTCATTTAGCAGTAAAAAGCTACTTTTTAACTAATAAAACTACGAGCCATCATAAGAAAGAATCAGCACAAAAATGAAAAATGCCATCATCAAGCTTATAAATTTACTCAAATATTTCGAACCAATCATGCAATTAAGCCAATAATAAATCCATAAGAGAGGGAAGTGGAAAGAAACCTGTGATTGTTCAGCTGTAAAAGGGGTTTTTTAACAAAGAAGGAAGTGAAAAGGAAATACTCTGAAAAAGGTTTAGACTTTAAATAAAAGGAACAGCATTTAGATTTCTCATGAGTTTCAGGGTCAGGGAAGAAATGGGGTTGGAGTTTTGAGTTTGAAAGTGATGAAGTGGTCTTGGCTCTCCATGAAAGATCGACAGTCTGAGCTCCTTGATCGAAGATAATGATCAGTGTGGCATTTTCTGAGAAGGACATATGTTAAATTTCCATTTTTAAAAAAAAAAATCTTTAATAATTACCATTATAGTAATAGTAATAATGAGTATTAACGATTAATGATTAAGTTGGGGTCCTGTTGTTTAGTAGCACAATTATAGTCATCCCTTTGAGTATTTGTGAACGAAATCATGGTCAAGTAAAGAAATTCTTTAGGTTATACTAAGACATTTTTGTTCATATAAATGAACTTTGCCTTCATTAATTTAAACATTCATGCCAAGACATTCACAAACTACTATATATTTCACTCCATTTTAATAACTCTTAATTTTTGTTTTGTTAAATTATTGTTTTTATTTAGGCAAATCCTTATTTCAAGTGAAGATTATTTAGTATAATCATTTATATTTTGTTAAAAATATTACAATAAAAAGAGACATTAACATTGATGAGACACTTAAAATAGAAAGATAATATGTATATAATGTGTCAAAAACACTTAATTATACGAACATGAATCAAACATCAATAATAGAACATATGCAAGGGTCTTGGGGCAGTTTTACAGTATGACACCTTAATATAAGGTTAAAATAAAATGTTACCGGTTTTGTTATTGTTTAAATAATAAAAACGGTAAAAATTACCGATAATATTATTATTTTTACTTAAAACATCATTTTTTTAATATTTTCGGTCATTTTTTAGCGCCTAATAATGTTTTCGGTTATTTTTTTATCGATTTTATTATTTAAACAATAACAAAACTGATAACGTCTTATATTAACCGTATATTAAAATTATCGCACGTAATCATTCTCGAGTATCTTGTCACTCCACATTTAAAAGGGAACTGAAGAAGGAAGTGAATAACTCCTTATAAACCCATCAAGAAGCACTTCCCTTCTCGATGTGAAATGTATGTTTTTTCATTTGTTAAGCATTATTAATATATATAATTTATTAACCAATTAATCTCGATTAGATATTATAAAATTCAATGTAAAGATAACATTTCTAATCGAATTTGTTTAATTCAAAAAATTAAAATTCAATCTTTGAATAATTCCTAATTATTATTAAATAAAATTTTAATATATAAAATATATACTATATTTAAAATATTGATAATATATTTCTTTATTGTTAAATAGTTTATATATTCATTTTCTACATAATAAAATATAAAACAAGCATTACATTAATATATCAAAATGTACAATATTTTAAATTCAATTAAAATAAGAATAAATACAAATACGATTATTTACATGGATTCGTTTTGATCCATGCTTTACCCGCAGTGTGTAAAACGTAAAAGAAGGTAAAAAGTCAAACGGAAGATAAAAGTGGGACCTAGATGTCGTCAACTTTAAAGTCAATGCGAGAAATGAATATCCGCCACGTAGGTGCCAATTAATGAATGTCGGCTACGTGTCCCTTTTATATTCGTAGAATGAGTTTTTTCCTTCTTTCCTTTCTCACTGAGGAAATCCTTAAGTACGGTTGCCGGCGGTAGCGGTTTCACCGTTTAAGGTTCTCGGCCGAGGCTTCTACAAGGCCAACAATATTTTAAACAACTGAAAATAAAGTAAATCTAGCTAGTATCATTCAACTTTATATCATTAAATTTTCCATTATTTCAATTATAGTATTAAATTTTAATTTTTAATTATATTATATTAGAATCTAAAATTTTAACGGTACAATGAGATGGATAAATATATCACTTTGATGACATAGATAAAATAATCTCCGTGGGTATGGAGAATGCTATTATTACTAAAGATGTATTGATTTTACTACAAAACTTGAAAAAAAATCGATTTTAGACAATCGATTTTTCTTGCCTTTGTTGACAGCTAATAGTCATATGTCACTTATTGATATTCTTAACAAGATTAATATGAAAATGTTTTATCATCAAATTATTTTTTCATGAAATTTACTTAAAATCTACGAAAAACAATCTAAAGGTTAAACGTGCTAATACTCCAATTTCCTATGAGGGTAGGATGATGAAGATAATTGCGAGGTATGTTATCCTTCTCAAAATATTATTTCTCACTGTTCAGATTTTCGAATAAACAATTTGAACGCCTCGAATTTGAGAAAGTCCCCCAAACCCCTAAAAATAGTGGATTTTTTTGTTTAATTTCTTCAAATTTGGATAGGTTTCATGAAAGATTGATCATACGAGAATAAATATGAGTGAAATGTGAACATTGTGATACTAATCTTGCCGTAAATGAAAATTGATGATGGGCGACGATTCTTCCGACGACATGAAAACAGTGTTGTGCATAAAAGTAAATTGTTTAAAAGTTTAGTACCTTAAACGATATCGTTTTAGGCCTCAATAGCCCATACTAAAACGATGTCATTTTATTCATGTCATCATGTGATTTAAATTTCAACAACTCAATAGTACAATTAAAGTTAAAATCAAAATTTAATGTTACAATTAGAGCAATTGAAAGTTTAATAGTATAAACTTAATGTTTAATGGTATGTAATGTGGTTTACCCACAAAAAATCACAATAAATGTGGAAAATTACAAAAACGAAATTAACATCACAGGTATTTTAATAACACATTTTAGGAGTATATATATAAAAAATCAATAAAGAATAACTAAACCTGCTCCTCAGGCACGTTGCTGTTTGCTATTTTCCTTGGATTCTTCTTGATTCAATTAAGACGAAAGTATAGAAAGAGAGGAAGAAAGAATAAAATAAGAGCTAATTACATAGAAGCTTATGCATATATATATTCTCCACATAGCAATGTCAATCAAAGTAATGAGACTACTGCACATCCAGCAATGGTTCAGAAACTTGGATTCCTAGGCGCTTTCGGGTAGAATTTGACCCACAGTACCAGAATTTTCGGATTTCTTAGGCCTCCACCGAGTCCTTCCTCTTACGACCTCAGACCCGTCTTCAAGACGGAGCAAGTGCTGGCACTCGATTTCGTTGAGACTCACCGAGTTCCCATCACCATGGTCAGAGACAGCAGTTAGTGACTGCAGCACGCTGTCCCTCTCACACTCCCTCCTGTACTCCAGTGTCATGGAAGATAGCTCGTGAGACTCCAACATTGGCAATGGGGCACTCTGCAACCAGTATTAGTTTCCGCTTAAAATGCATGCAAAATTGGTGAAAGCCGGGAGAAATACTAATATCGAAGAGAGGGATTGGGGATGAATCAGCAGAAATGGGGGAGGATCGTGCGAATTTAGGGATTGTAAGGAGGTTAGGGATTTAGAAATCATATGAGGAATTGGGAATGAAAGGAAGGCATGCGGATGGAGTAAAATAGTTGGGCTTATCCAGACTTAACCCTTTTAATTCACATGTGGGCTTTTCGTTTTGGGCTTGATTCTATTAAGATAAAATCTGGACAGAGGTTGGGTTGGTGAGTCAGCACCTAAGCAGTTATTTTGTTAGACAGCTGGTATTTGTTAGATATATAATTGTACCAGAGATCTGTAAGGGATTTTATGAATGAAGAATACACGTTTTCTGTATCTATTGCTTTTCTTCTATTCTCTGAAATCTCTAAATTCTTCTACCATTTTATCCTAAAACATAACAAATTGGTAATCAGAGCTGAGTTTTAGTGATCCAAAATCAAATTTTCACGCTGGGAAAGACAAGAAAAATGAATAAAACTGGAATCACAGAAGTACCAGAACAATCAGCAGTGGAGGTTAAGGAGGAGACGTTACCTTCTTGGTGGGCGGGGCAGAAAGAAGAGCTGGAAGGGAGGATTCAAGCATTGGAGGATGGAATGACTGAAAACAGGGGGTATTTATAGAGGATCCTACAGTTGGTCAATCAAGCAGCTGAGGAGAAAGATTCACCTCAGTCAGTGAAGAGTCAACCAACAGTAGCTGAAAAACAGAACAAAAATGGAGGCAAACAACCATGTTTGATTACGGTCCTTAATGAGCATGAGAAGTATACTTTTCAACCTAATGAACCGGGGATATTAGCCTCTAAACCTGTAGGGTTTACTGGTCCTTTAACTTTTAATCAGAAATTGCAAGAAGAAAATGTTATGGACAGTTCTAGTGATGTTAAAGTGGACAATAAGGGTTTATTTGGAAGTTCAGGGCCTATTTTACCTCGACCTAAATTAGAGCTGCAGATGTTTGATGGCAGTAATCCTAGAGGATGGGTCAGAAAATGCCAAAAATATTTTAATCTTTTGGGAGTTCCTGAAGAACAAAAATTAGATGTGGCTGCAATGTATTTAATGGGAAAGGCTGAGGTTTGGTTTGATGACTATATTATGCAAAAGCATAGAGTAACTTGGCATGAATTTGAAGCTGATTTGTGTCATAGATTTTGTGACAGAAACTATTCAGATATCATTGAAGAATTTAATAAGTTGATGCAGAAGGGAAGTGTAGAGGAATATCAAGAAAAGTTTGAGGAGCTAAGACCCTACTTACTGCAACAGAATGTGCATTTGGGAGAAGATTACTTTGTTTCCAGTTTTATCAGTGGTCTCAAAGAAGAATTAAAACATAAAGTGAAGGTGTTAGAGCCCAAGAAACTATCTGAAGCGTACAGATAAGCAAAATTGTATGAGCTAGCCAATGAGATTGAAGGGAAGAAGTATAAAATTTCTAACAAAATTTTTTCTTACAC